GCAGTAAAGAGCCTTCGTCCAGCTGCCATCGCGAGGTAAGAGGAGCAGCCACGGGAACGGCGGCAAGCGTGGCACCGCGAGCGCGACGGCGCGCCATGATCGGCAGACGGCGGCGAAGCGTGTGCGGGCGAGCGGTGAGGCGACCATGCTGTAGACGACAGCGAGGAGATATTGGGGGAACGTGGCCGACCAGCACCGCGTCGCCGTATGCGCGCGCTTGGTTTCGCGACCGTCGCCGCCGGAGGCCATCTGTGTCGACATCAATCTGCCGGAACAAGCGAGATACGTGTTTTTGTTTTAGAGAAGAGAGAGCGGTTTGGGGCTTATTGGCTGGGCAACGCACGCAGGTTAGGGCTTCCTGTTTTTGTCTTGTGTATATAACCGCTCATTGTTGGAGTTAAACACCAATACGTATACGTCCGTGTCCTAATCTTGCACGTACGTGTACCCGAGTCCGTGTTGGCTTGATTATCATTACCGAGTAGGATTGCTTGTTATCCTAGTATATAGGATAGCTAGTATATATACGGTGTATCCCTGTACTTTGGAACCGTGAGATCAAAAAGCAATAAAGAAAAAACAGGCCTTGTGTGTTCCTGCTGGCGACTCCATCTAGCTATACGAAGACAGCCAGCCACCGTAGCTAATCGATTCAGCCGGCTGCTTGTCTGCTTGTTTACTTGTATGTGTGCATAGTGAGTCTACGATCCGTCCGTAAAAGTACGGCAATGCTACACGTACAAACGATTTACAGGCTTTTACAGGATGGTTAACTTTGATTGGTCAATATGTGAGCGGGGCGGCTCACCCTCCTAAAAATCAGGAAGGGAGAGGTTTGTGATTGGTTGTTAGATGGAAAGAGCGTGTAAGTCTTTGTATGTCTAGCATTTTTGGTAAAAGTAACCCGGCCAATCTGACGACTACAAGTGTGCTCTTGATGGAAAAAACTCGTCAACGACCAATGTACATGGGGATCTGTGCTAACATGGCCATCATCTACAAGACGTACGACCTGAGAGTTGTTCTTTGTTTTCTGAAAAGCAGATAACCCCCGCCTCTGCATCAGAGCGATGCATGCAACCATTATATTATTAATAATGCAAAATCCAGCAGTCGAACACCATCGATCCGGAAATAAAGCGGAAAACAAACCTCAAGGCCGTATACCTCACGACAATACCTCCTCCAGATAGCAACTAATTCCTATGATGCAAGACACAACATAAACGAAAAATACACAACTCCTAGGCTACGCCTTCAAAAAGGAATCGCCGCACGTGCGCCGATGATGGCGAGTCCATCACAAGGTTGAACTCCAAATTCTCATCCCCAAAGCCAAGTTTCAATCCACCACCTTCAGCAAGGACACGACGCGTGCGACAACATAGTCTAATCAAAGATTTTGTGTTTCCACCAGAGTGCATAAACTCATCGCTGAAGCCGTCTGTACCATCCGCCCGTATCCGTCTACCAACACCTCGACAGCCGGATACCTCTGGAAGAGACAACGGAAGACAGAGATGTCCCATACCGCTTGCCTCCTGATACTTTCACACCACCTTCGATCCGGCAGCAACAGGCTAAACATGACACCTCTGTCAGAGCCACCGTGAATTACCCGCCGGTAGCAGGCATGACTTGATGTCTCCATATAAGACGTCGTGCATACCATCCGCCGGTAGCTCATCCACCAGTGGCTTCACCTGTCGGCGACATGCACCGCCCGACAACTCCAAAAGAGGCACATGTGTCACCTGCCGAGCCACATCGGACCCGATCTGTTGATGGAAGGGACATCCCATACCGCCACCAGCCTCAGAAGGCCGTCACCACCTCTAGATCCAGACTCCGACTCGCCCACACGATCCCGGAGTCTGCCGCCGTTGATGAAGAGGGGCCGCCGCCCCGATTCCCGGCACTACAAGGAGCACCCACCGTCGCGCCAGCCGCTGTCGTCGCCCATACAACGGCAACAACCGCCGTGATCCCGCATCCAGCACCGTCAACGCCGGAGGAAGCTCCGGCTGTTTGTGTTGCCCATGGACACCTTCTGATGGTAGTTTCTAATTTATTTGTATTGAGTACTCCTATTTACTACCTCCGTCCGGAAATATTTGTCATCAAAATGGATAAAAGAGGATGTATCTAGAACTAAAATACGTCTAGATACATCCCCTTTTATTCATCTTGATGACAAGTATTTCCAGACGGAGGGAGTACTTCATTACTTGTATACTATATACACATGTCCCGCTGCTATATATCTACGAAGGTCTCAAGATTTGTGCTACGAACCTGAACCAGCTGTCTATCCTCGGCCCAACATTTGGTTATGGTAGAGAGTGTGTTATGATAACTAGGGATCTGCATTCTGTAGTTACAGCTTCAGTAATTGCAAAATCCGGTGTCCATGGCAATCAAGACGAAACATTGGATCATTGTATTCTTAATGGCCTCTCGTATGTCACAGCCTTGAAGTTGTATAACCTCTCTCAAGTGTTGTCGCCAACATTTGCAGTATTAGCTGCCTCTTGATATTGATGTAAGACACCATCTACTTTATTTTTTCTAACCAACTATTTTGCCGCATGTATGTGCTCGAGAGAGGTTTGCGAACATGCCCGTTGTTCGGCAACCTCACAAGGCTGGTGATGGGCTAATAGTGCATGGTCTCCAACTTCTCGCCACTGATCCTCATCCCCTGGAAACTTCAACTAATGTGCCTCACGGCTACCTTTTGACACACTGAATGCAGGAGCAATGTGGGACATGCAAGGATGCTGAACACAACATGTCGCCAAGGGAAGAATCGCCAGGCGGCTATCCTGGGATTGAGAGGACCATAATATATTTGTGGGAAGATGATCGGTGGGTGGGTGAGCACGTTGGTGAAGGTGTTGGAGTCGATTGTCATCCCAGATGGGAAACTTTTGTTTCAGGTTTTTTGTTTTGTTTGAGGTAAGGTGGATAACTCGTATCTAGTTTTTGCTTTTTTTTTGAGACAAGGATGACGTATATAGGTTACAAGCCCAATTACGCCTAGCATGGGCTAACAGGCTCGGACACCGGGCCTAGCTGACATTGGGCTTCCGATTCGACCCCCCTGTTCTCATTCTCATAAAAAAAATCCCATTCGATCCGCCAGGGAGTGTCCTCTCCTCCACTTCTTGTCGCCGCGTCTCTCGCCGGCTCGGCGTCAATTGATCGAGCGCCTCGGACTCTGGAGCCGCCGTCCCCCCTCCCGGCTGCGTACTACCAGGTTAGTGAGCCACCAGCAATGCGTACATTTTAGGACTATTATGGTGGTACCGCCCTGCAGCCATGGTTTTGGGTACCGCTCGGAAAATTCGGATACCGGGCGGTATCCGCGTTTCTCGCCGTCCCACGAGAATTACCAATCCCGAGCAAAAAATTCCATTTGTTTGAATACTTTGAATTTAAATGCTGAAAATTATGGTAGCATCCTTATTTTATTAGCGTTTTTGTATGTGGCGTAGTGGTATGCTAGTGTTTTGCGCCTCGAGAGGTACCTGGTTCGAGTCCTCTTTTCGCTGCTTTTATTTTTTATGTTTAGAACACGTAAGTAGAATAAAAGTCCTAAAAAGAGAAGAAGCAACGACTCGAACTCCCAACCTCAAAACACCTCCCACGGGCGTAGTCGGCTTTCCACTGAGCTTCTACCTCTTTTCGGCACAATACCAGTTCAAGTTCACTCTATATCTAGTTCAGAAGAATTTGAATTCAAAATTTAATTATAAATTTCGTTCTGAAATGTGTTCAGAAT